AGATGTTACCTAGCCGGGTAATGAAACGTTTGCAAGAAAAGAACCAAGCTCAGAGAACCCCAAGGCCTCCACAGTCTTATTAAACTTGTTCAATTTAAACATTTTTATTACACTTTCAGTTTTGTGCTAAATATTATAATCCTTTAAAAATGGAAATACATGTCTTGATATGATGAAAAGTATCCAAAACAGTAGGGCAATCAGTTGACAAACTTACATCATTAATATGCCCCAAGCTGGAGTTTAGTTTGATTGATTTCTGACTGAAAAATCTGACAAAAATCTACATAATTCTCTTTCCACAAAGAACTATGTAGATTCTTCAAAGTGAGCCACTGGCTGTTTCAGCTCCTCCTCTTCAGTATTCTGATGAAGGAAGTATTCTGCAGTAGTGAAATACAGCTATAGTTTATCTTTGTGCAAATGCAATAAGAGTATAAAGCAGGCATGCTTCACTATCTTTCCTTGTCTTGATTGCTCCACTATCCTTCCTATCCTGGGATTAGGGATTGGGAAGGCAAAAGTGTAACTGTACAGCTTGATTGCCTAATTCCAAAACAGGTTACTCAGAAGAATCAGTGCACAAGCCAAATCAGTCTGCTATAGTCAAGATACCAGGGAGTGAAGATAAAAAATCAAAGATCAATGAAGAGTCAGGGAGGTCTGTTAAGCAGTCAGGACACAAGGTAATGGTTGTACAAGTTCACAAGTGGTAGATGTTGTTTCCATCAATGAACTGTACATAACAAAGAGAGCTTTGTACAGATAGTACACCGCACTGCTTTTTAATCAAGTGGTGTTTTTCAAGTCTGAGCTGATGTCCAGGCATGTTGAGCTATTCCAGAACAGAATTTCATTTCTACAATGCTTACACTTCAATCAGGCAAATACTTCCTCATCTTCTGATACACAACCCTTCCAGGCTAGTGGAGACTGTGTTAGAGCCTGACTGAACTGTGTGCAAATGTCTCAGGATAACTACCCAACTTTCTTGTAATCTATTAAATATTCAACTGCTCTCTTATAGCAGGAAGCTAGAATTTGACCTGTTTCAATGATGAGTTTGACATGACTTGAATGCATTATTACATCAGGGACTAGTAAAGATCTATAAAAGCCTAAATAGATGTAAACTGATTTGATAATGGTAAATGAAATGCTGTAGAATTAATCCAAGAAGATACTGTATGTTTTAATAAATTAATCCAGTGAACAGGATGTTTTGTTTGGTGTTACAACAGTAATTGCTGCTTAGATAATCAAATGCATAACAGTTCTAAATGGCCTTTTTAGTTTGAAGTTTGCTTGTATTCTTATTTGCCTTATTGCACTACCCCCTAATACTTCTTGAATGGCATTGAATCTAGAAAGTTATAGTCTGCTGCATGGTCTAGAAAGAAAATCATTATGGGAGGGAAATGTTTGTGACAAAGAAGCAATGGGGATGGAATCTATCATCTGTGGAAAAGGGGAGTTTGATGAGTTCAAAGATGTAAAGACTTGTATGCAAACTCTGCAAGTGGCAAGAGCTAAGGTTGGTTATCTTACCAGTAATTTATGTAGCATCGTAAATATCACTTCAGAGTCATATAAATCCACTTCACTTGTCCAGCAAGTTGAGAGTGACGAGTGATGGATAGATATAAGTTCACAAGAGGAGCATGGGAAAAAACCCTGTCAGATGCAGGTTGTAAATTGAGTCTCAGTATGAAATTACATACTTTGACAACCTGCATAACTGAATCCTTGTCTAAGAAACTTGGGCTGTTACACAAGCTGATAGCACTGAACAGTGAATAATTTTGAAAACAGATCTAGAGTAACTAGAATGGCATCTTACCCCATATGTTATAATTCTATTTGACTGGCTTCCGTTTTCAAGAATTCAGGATTCCCTCATTCTCTGAGGGGCTATAAAGTTATTGTTTCTATCATTATCCTGGGGGCTTCCCCCTTTTCCTTTGCCAAAACTGAATACAGGTAGTCCTCACTTAACAACAGAAATTGGGACCGGAATTTCTGTCGCTAAGCAACATAGTTGTAAAGCGTGATGTCACATGATCATACTGCTTAGCAACCAAAACGCTAGAACTTCCCATTGCTGTTGTTAAGTGAATCGCTATGGGTCGTTAAGCAAGGATGTCACATGGTCGCCATTTGCAACCTCTTGCCGGCTTCCCTATTGACTTTGCTTGTAGGAAGCCAGCAAAGAAGGTTGCTGGTAGTGGTCACATGACTGCTGGATGCTATGATGTTGTAAGTATGAGGATTGGTTGTTCAGTGCCGTTGTAAGTTTGAACGATTGCTGAATGAATGGTTGTTAAATGAGAACCAGCTGTAGAGCCTTTCTTCCCAACTGCAGATTATCATTTTCACGAACAGCAAAATATATAGGAACTTCATAACAAAGTTCTCAAACTGTTTCTTTGCTAAAGTTAACACTATTAAAACAGCTGAAAAAATTATCTAAACATTTTATATGTACACACACACACACACCTTAATACATACTCTTCTTGTTGGTGTCACACTACAAAACCGGTGCTTAGATCTTTGGAAACTCTGGTGGGGATGCTGAGACATGGAGAGGACTTCTTGTTGGTGGTAGTGAGTTCTGGCCACCAAAGTTTATTTCCAAGTAGCCATGCCAGAACAGAGGTGACGTTTTCACTTGAGCAAAGGGAAGACTGTCTTAGGAACATCAATAAGGCAAATCTGCTCACTATTGTCTTTTCTTTTTTCAGGCAAAAAATTAAGGCTCGTGCTCCCCCACCACCAAACCAACCTCCCGTTACCAGTAACGTTAATAATGAACATAAAGTAACGCCAGCCCTGGAAATGCTGCCAGATCAGAGTATGTTAAATATGAAGGAAAATCTGATTAACAATACAGTGGACTTTATGGTAGTTTTTCCAGATGGAGAAGAACAGAAAAATACTGTACATGGGAGGTAAGGCTTTCAAATAGCTGAAAAAAATCATAATTTCCATGGCTGCTGAAAATACCTTGATAAAGACAACTGTATTCACACATATGTAAGATGCTTCTTTTCCTCTAATCTACTGAATAAATACATGCTTGATAAATGGGTGTCTTCAGCTGTAGTTCTGTGAGATAAGATTAAATGAATAATCATTCCTTGTATATATCAGGAATAAATTGCTACCAGCTGCATGATTGGTAATGATAATTATAATGTGGGATAGATAAGGTTCCAAGTATTTGTCTTGTACAGAGTTACCTTAAATACATATAGGAACCTAATTTAATCCTCTACTCTGGTTCATGAATGTTTTATTTAGAGGAATAGTATACTGAATTTTTGAAAATATTTTCCATACATACATACATACATACAGTGGTACCTTGGTTCACGAACTTAATTCATTCCGCGACTCTGGTCGCGACCCAAATCAAATTTTCCCATAA